CATCTGCAGGCCTAGGCTCAACCTTAAGAGCCCAAGAATTTAATAGCTGTGTTACTTTGGAAAAGTAAGTTTACCACCTTAAGTTTCATTTATAAACTAAGGATTTGAATCAGCGGTTCTCAACCTGTGGGTCGAGACCCCTTTGGCGGTCGAACAGCCCTTTCACAGGGGTCGCCTAAGACCATCCTGCATATCAGATATTTACATTACGATTCATAACAGTAGCAACATTACAGTTATGAAGTAGCAACGAAAATAATTTTATGGTTGGGTCACAACATGAGGAACTGTATTTAAAGGGCCAGAAGATTGAGAAGCACTGCTTTGGATTTTTTAAATGAGGTAATACATATTAAATGGCAGTTGAATGAGCACCGAGTCCCAAATTCTTAGCAAACTTTCCATACACTGCTCAATAATTCTCATGATCTCTGGTAAATTTAAATAAATAAATCTTGATGTACTAATGGGTTTTCTGAATACAGCATAAATTCCTTGGCTTGGCATTCAAGGGCCCTGGTGAACTGGCCTTAGCTACTTACCATTCTGACCTCTCATTTTTCCTTTTCATATGCTCTGTATTTAAGCCACACTGACTTCAAATTTGCTTCTTTAGGGTCCATGCATTTTTAGGTTTCTTGCTTCTATCCCTTCACTTAGAAATCCTTGTCTTCACCATCTCTGTATATGTGTACAAGTCCTAATGAGTAAACTTATTCCCTCCATAAAACCTTCCCTGGTTCCCCCTGTCTCCCTCCCTTCCTCCCACTCTTGTCAGGTATTTTTTAACTTGCAAAGCCCCATACTTTTGTCATCACCACTGTCTGGTGAGTAGCGAAAAGAGGAATTAATACACTGTCTTTTGGAAAGTTTACAAGCAGGAAGGAGCCTATAGGGGTCATAAGAGTTCCTGCAAATGTGTGGAAAATTTTCTCATGGGTTCAGGAACCCATGAGAACTCAAATAGCATCAAAATCTGTAGTATCCCATTCAAAACAAGCTTTACATCTTGCTGTATAAGCTTAATGAGTCACTCAGTAGCCATCTTTATATAATAAAAGCACCAAAGGATGGTAATGACTGTTGCCCAACAGGTACAGACTAATACTGTGGAGTTTCCCCTTGCCAGTAAATAAATGCTTGTAAAGTCTAGAGATCCTGAAATGAAAGGCATTTTGTAGATTTAAAATGGGCAAGATCCAACCGGTCTTCTGTATCTTCCCCTAGTCAGCACTAATCCTCCAGGAGAGGCGGGTGGATGAAAAGGCGTTACAGAACCTGAGGAAGTGTGGATCAGGGTCTCCAGATCGTCCTATGGGTGGTTAAGTCTGGAGCAGACAAAGGCAGGATACCAGGTCTAAAACTTGGAAAGGGTGTGAAGAGACTCTTTAGGAAGATAGCAGAAAGGGCCTGGATTGTTCTTTCTTCTAAGTTCACTGAAGAAAAATCGGACACCAAATTCTGTTCTAAGGAATTTCTAAATGAGCAGAGAATTCTTTGAACTCTGTAATCAACTAACTGGAAACTAATTTGAAATTTGGCTTCAGCACATATATTTGGGGTTGCAGAAGTGGGGGAAGCATCCTGAGTGGTTATCTGGAGCTCCCTGTACTTCTCTTTTAAAAAGTTTCAGCACGTGAAATGAACAGATGCTTTTTTTGTTGATGTTGGAGCTATCAGGGCAACATGAGGCTGAACACTGTATCAGGTATTTATTTCAGTCACTGTGATGGCTATTGGCAGAGTTCCACATACCAAAACTAAAGAGAAACTCATGAACAGATAAAAAATAAGACACATTGTGGAAAGAGACACTGTGCTTCCTCTCTTGATTTCTTTGTAAACACATACTGATGATAAAGAAGGAGCAAAGCAATCTTTGGCTTCTTTGAGGGTGGAGGCTGGGGGGTTGGGGAAATTTACCTAATCCTTTCTATAAGGTTGTGTTTGCACTTTGGGTGGTTTTTTTCTGTAATACTGCTCTAACGCTTAGTCAGAGTGTGACTTCAGTTGAAAAGCAATTTGAATCCAATCTTCATAGTGGCTAAAGCACTTCACTTATTTATTTTATATTATAATACGGAGCATTGGTGAGAATAGGGTAGATAGGTGTGGGAAGGGGAAAGATTGAATTGATTGACACCTGACTGGTGAGGAAACAGGAAAGGAATTTCTGCCTGGGAAGTTTGTGATTCCACATCAAGATCATTTTTTATAATAGAATAACCACCCACCCTTAGTCCAGAGCCAGAATTCCTCAGATTCTTCCAGCCAGAAGGGCCCTGGCACACTAACAGTGTTATGATATCTGAACACTTAAGTGAATGTATTTGGCCAGAGAGATTTGCTAGTGAAATTGATCTTGCCTTCCCTAGGTTTTTCCAGTTGTACTGAATAATTAAAAGAAAATTAAAACCTGGATTCCCTGAAAGGTTAAGAATCAGATCTGTAAGTTGATCAAGCCCCTAGGAACACAGTGTGTCAGAGTTAGAAGGAAACTTAAAATTTATTCTAAACAAACTGATAGCGGATTTTAAAATCTGTTTCCGCAAATCTCTGCCAAGTGATTGCATGAATTTCCGGGTTGCTTGAATTTCTGCTCAGACACCTCCAGAATTAGGAATTTCACCACTTTAAGGGACACCCTATTCTTTGAATAGCTGTGAGAAAGCTCTTTGTTTGAAATGTGCCCTTGGATCTTCGTGTGTCAGCTGAAGGAGCTACTGTATCCAGAACAAGCTTCCTTCCTCCCTTGTTCCAGTCCTTCAGATAGATACTTCTTGTTTATCATATTGCCTGGAACCTTCTCTAGGTCAAGCATTTTTTTTTGGTTCTTTCTGCTGTTTGTTCCTCAGGAGACAGGGCTTCTAGTGTCTTGCAGTGGGGGACCAAGAGGACTCAGGATTCTGGGGCAGCTCCTTTAAAAGTTTTAGAATTAAAGAATATTAAAATTAGAAAGGCAGTCAAGACATAATTTAGTCTGTGCCCCTCTCTTCCAGTTTACAGATGGGGAGAGAGTTTCGGATTTGAGTGGGCTGAATGGATCAAAGTGAGAAATAAAGTGTAAAAACAGTTTGCCATTGAAAGGTCTTTTTATTTGTTTAATTCTGAGCACAGGCTTCAGCCCACACCTCATTTTTGCCAAGGACTTCTCTGGCTTCCTACTAGGTAAGGCTCAGCTCAGGGTTGCACTGCCAGATCTCCAAACACCAACTATTGGCCTCACTTACTGTTTGCGTAAAGGATAGAAATAACTTTTCTGTAAGTTTGACTGTCTATTGACCAACTGAAATTTTAATAGGTTTTTCTTTGCCCTTCAGAAATGTAGCTGCCTCTGGTGGACAGTTTCCTGGGTTTCCCTTTGTATTTTCTTTGTTTAACTGTCACCAGGTGACTTAGCTTTTCTAAAAGCCAAAAAGCTGTGGACAGAATTGTGGGCTACCTTTCTATAGCATTTTCTGTCATCAAACTGGAAATACAGACCCTGCTCTTCAGCTGGCCCGGAGGCTCGGGTTTCCTTGGATGTGCGCAGCAGGAAAGGAGCCCAGGTGCTTGGCCTGGGACACTGCTGCTGGCATCGCCACGGAGTCACTGGCGCCGCAGCTCTGTGGGCAGAGAGGGACCAGGACCTGGTGTGAGGAGGAGGAGGAGGAGGAGGAGGAGAGAGAAGGCGCCTAGAGTTCCCCAATAACTTGGTCTCCGAGTGTGACCGCAGGCCTTCGGACACCGGGAAGCGCCGGGTCCAAGGCTGCGTGCTCTAGGGCCGGGCCGGGGCACCAAAGGTGACATTGGAGGGGCTCGGGGAGCCCTTGGCGGCAGAGCCGGAGCCATAGGAGGCGGGCGGCCCGCGG